ACTAATAAACCCCAATCTGGTCCTGTACATACTAATAAACCCCAACAAGTTCAGGTTACTTCACCCAAACGAATGCTCAAGCCTCCCCCACCGTACACGAAGGTGGTCCGCACGACGTCACTAAGAGAGTATCTCAACCACCCCAGCCGTGTGATTCCTCGAGAAGTGGTATCAGGGGAGCTTAAAACCTGGCACCAGAAAAACAATATAGCCATATCCAAACCCCGCTCACTTGAACGGCAAGGATCGACTAAACTTAAGCGCCCAGAGCCGCCACCCTACCACCATATTCCCTCTAATAAACAGGTAAAGATGTGGACAATATGTGCATTTATCATTAAATCTGTTCTTGGTAAATGATAAACATACTTGTTTTTATCCAGGTTTCTCAGAAAGTGATTCTGCAAAGGGCTTCCGATGGAACGCCACTGCAGTGGTACGAAGAGGAAGACTCCGAGATTGTGAGTCAGGTGTAACCAGGTAGAAGAAACCTAGAGGAAATTAAACAGAGAAAAAGTGAACTCTAATTGTACACCATCTTTATTTTTATTTATTGAGCCAATGGACTCACTGATGTAGTCTGATTATGTTAATTCTCACCAAGACTTTTTGACCAAGTTGGAGCTGAGTCAGTGAAGTATATGCCTAAATTCCATATATGCCTACATTTGTGATTTAAATTTCAAGTCTAAGACTTCCTTGTAAGGCATCGTGCCTGATATTTATGATGAATGTATCATAAAATTGTGATTTTATTGTTGTCAGGAAAGTGTGGCCCACTTTTTGCATATGAACGCCCTCAAGGAAATGACATAATTTAGTATATATTTGTGTCTGGTACACGATCTTTCATAATTAAAGTATTATGCAATGTCTTAGTTTCCCCATGATTTAATTTAATTTAACACATTATGAATTAATATATTATTTTTCTATTTTATTTTTTATTTGTGAATTAATATGGCCCCTTTCCTAACATTTTTTAAATTAGTGAAATGTTTCAAGAAGTGTTGCTCTGCTACTGTAATATGCATTGTAAGAATAATCCATCTGTCAGTTTAAATAATACCAAATGCAGATGTTTTACTTCCTGTTTGTACACTACTAATTATGAAATATATTTTATATTATTTATAATACACTTTAATAAACAATATCACAGATCCTCACTATTGTCTTGTGCATTTTTGTCACATTTTCAAATATTTCACATTGACATTGTAGAAAACAGATGTAGAGCATACATTGATATGAGTGCTAGTGCATGAATGTTTATTTTGAGACCATTTCAAACTATACATGAAATAGTTTCCCATAAAACAAAGTTAAAACGTCTAGCAAATGGTAACTTAAAGCTATCAACAGTAATTTTAACATATTCATCACATTTCTATTTCTATAGATAGTTAATATATAGATAATTTTCACATCCATAAGATGGGTGTTTGCAGCAACCAAACTAATACGGCTAATGGACCCTTTTCACAAGACTGTGATAACGCGTTTAACGGTCATCAGCATCGTAAATCCTCGAAAGTTTTTC